CTTGTCCCCCTAAAAAGTGCTTCATAGAAATAGATTCTACATGAGTGTGTAATTCTTGAACTGGTCTTATTTTAACAATGCATACAATTTACTTGGGTAGATGATATTTAAAAAAATGTCTAGACAACCACACTCTCTGTGGTAAACCAATGAACAGTACTTATTGTAGCTTAATATAAATTATTTTTAAAGGTTTTTAATTTTATGGGGAAAAATTGTCTTTGTCTCAAAGTAAGACCCAAGCCATATGTGATGTGATGTGATTTTGGGTAGTAATTTACATATTAGAATGTAAATACCGGTATCATTTGACCAAATGTGATTTGGGTCAGTGCTTTACCTGCATGTAAACACCTGTCCTGCTTGACCATATATGATTTGGGTCAGTGCTTTACTTGTAATGTTGTAAATACTCTCCTGCTTGACCAGATATGAATTGGGTTTGTCCTTTACCTGTGATGGTATAAACTCCTTCCTATCTTGCTTGACCAGATGTGATTTGGGTCAGTGCTCGGTCAGTTTGCTGGGCTCCGGTAGCTTCCACCAAGGATAAGCCTATGGCTCCCCTACCGTGCACTGCTAAGTTGGCGGCGCTACCTCAAGTAAGGAGGTGCGACTTTTCGGGGGAAAAAAGACTTAACTACAGAACAACTTAACTACAAAAATTTAACTACAGAGATTGATTAATAAATGAGAATTTTTAACCATGAGAAAGTTAACAAAGATTGAAGAGATAAGCCTTCGAATTCTTTCGAAGGAGTGATATGGGTCGGTACTTTACTTGTAATGATGAATACACCTGTCTTGCTTGACCAGATGGGATTTGGGTCAATACTTTACCTGTAATGATATAAACACCTGTCCTGCTTGACCAGATGTGATTTGGGTCAGTAATTTACCTGTGATGGTATAAACACCTGTACTGCTTGACCAGATGTGATTTGGGTCAGTAATTTACCTGTGATGGTATAAACACCTGTACTGATTGACCAGATGTGATTTGGGTCAGTGATACCTATAATGATGTAAACTTCTGTCCTGCTTGACCAGAAGTGATTTGAGTCAGTACTTTACCTGTGATGATATAAACACCTGTACTGCTTGACCATGTGATGTTAGTCAGTGCTTTACCTCTGATGGTATAAACACCTGTCCTGCTTGACCAAATATGATTTTGGGTCAGTGCTTTACTTGTGATGCTATAAACACCTGTCCTGCTTTACCAGATGTAATTTTTTCAGTACTTTACCTATTATTATATGCTTACAGTATCTTCCTTGACCAGATATGATTTTGGTGAGTTCACCTGTAATTATAAGGACACTTGTCCTGCTTGACCTAATATTTGATATGGTGTGATTTTGTTCTATTTTACATTATGATGTAAATGTCTATTCTGCATGAGGACTTGGTTAGTGGGTTACCTGTAACACTTTTCCTGTTTGACATCATATGATACAGTACATGATTTGAGTCAATTACCATATAGAGTACACCAGTCGTGTCGTCACGACGCCAGGTGGTGCTCTCTGTTGTCAACAGACGTAGGTTACCGTTCATTACGCCTGAATGACTTCATAGGCTTTCTGGAATAGGCATTTCAAAATCCAATTTTTTTAACCATCAGAATTTACTAAAAACACAAAAGCTCGCATTATATTAGTTTCGAACACACATTTAATCATTAATCAAAGTTTACAAAGAAAAAGTAAGATACAACAGCTTAATAATTACGTTTTAAATTGGGATCAATGTTTCGTCAGTGAAAAAAATGGTGTCCGGTTGAACAATTTTTGCAGCAATAGCAATGGAGTAGTATCACGTGGTATCGTGACGTAACACTGTAGTACACTGTACTCGATAGCAATAGGTTCTACTTGTTCTATGCTTGAATAGATGTGATATGATTAGTGTTGGTCAGGTATACCTACAGTGATAAAGAACATGTCTGTCTAGCTTGACCACATAATGTGATGTAGATTACAGGTATACCTATAATAATGATGAAGCGCAAAACCACCTGTCCAGCTTAACCACCGATGACCCACCACTCATGCTTTTAAGTTCCAGAAACACTGTTATGAGTCAACGACATTTGCACTATCACACCATACGGACTTTCATTTTCGATCAGCTGATTGTGATAAGCTTACATTTGTTCATTTTTTTCCCAGTGATCTTGCGTAATCTATGGTCGGTATTTTGTCTTGAAGCAATCACTCACCATAATCCGTCATCAAGGGAAATAGAATTTCTTGTACCGGATTAAATCATATTTGAAACATTTAAAACAACCTTGGCAAATTAAGCAATCTCTATTTTAATATACAGGATGTATATGAAAATCAATTAATTTATTTATTAACTGCTTTTATCAGTCCAGCTTATTGGTATTCAGTTGCGGTTTAAGACTTTTTATTCATAATACATATTTTTTTCTATGTATTTAGACATGTGGTTTTTGTACATAAGTTTGTTTTTCAGTACATTGTCTTCTACTGGCTGCAAATTACATTGTCTGTCTCCGGATTGATTGATTGATTGATTGCTGTTGCTGATTATATTTGAGTGTTGCCCTTGTCCAGAATGGATAATTACTTATGTGTGTTGCTTCGGTGCTTGTTATGCAGCATCTGTGCTTTTTCCCAGGTCATCGTGCTTATATGCAGCAAACTGCACGCAGGAAAAACTGAACGCAACAAAACAGGAAGAACCGCCCTAGCGTTTGAGCTAGACGCTCGATTCTTTCGATGACTTCACTATAAAAATGGTTTTACTCTGCAATCAGCTGTTTGATACAGGACATGGATTTGAGAAGTATGGAATATTCGGTGCGCTTGCTGCAAGCCTATCTGGATAGCTGCGTTGATTGGTGGTTGCAGCCTGTTCCATGTAAGTCGATTCATGAAAGATATCGCCTCTTTTAATCCCATCAAAATTTGGATGACATTCTTTTGAATATATATATCACAAAAAAGGTTTTTAATTTTGGTTTCCTAGATATATTTATTATCTACTGTAACCTGCAGTTAAACAAACCATAATTTTTTTGTGATATTTTTAAAGTCATACATTTTTACAAATTTTGGGATTATATTTTGAAAAGTAACTTATATTTATTTTATATTTTGGATTTATTATTGACCACTCTTGTTGTTCATTATGGTTGCAGATAGTAACGCTTCTCTTGGCTTTAATTAGCTGCAGCCTTGACCACTTCAGCAGTTGACCGATATATTTAATTTATGTTTTCATGACATTGTTCCATACTTTTGCACTTTGTTTCTTTGTTTGTGTTTGTTCTGCCTTTTGGAATGTGTTTTTACCACAGAGCAAAACAAATTTCTGTGTTCTCCTGAACAATGACAATAAAATATGATTGATTGATTGATTGATTGACATTGCTAACATTTATAATAAATTATTTTCATCTTTTAATTATATTTCATGTTGCTTAACTTAAACCTTTTAATTTTGGTATGGTTTTAAAAATATTTTAGTTGATAGGCAATTTATATTTTTTAATATTTTATATGCTAATTTTTTAAAATTTGTATTTTGTAGTTTAATTTAAATTATTTCATTCATGTGTTACCTTTACTGTATTGTATAATATTGTTAATTTTTTTTAATGTAGTAATAGACTATTATAATTACAACCTACCACTAAATTAATGTAAAGTTGTAAAATACTGATGGTAATAGAAATGTAGGTGTATCAATAAATCATAGATTATGGGATTTAAAAAAAAAAAAAAAATCTGTTAATATTTTAATGCATAATGCACCATCTGTCTAGAAAAATAAGCTATGAATAAGCTCCAGCCCTATGAGCCCTAGTGGCTCGGAAATTATGTTCTTTTTGTCTTGAAAAATATATTTTGATACACGACAAAACATACATGGTAAGCCCAAAAATAAATACAAGATGATATAAATAAAAGCAACTACACATCAACAAGTAGACCTACAAATTTTACAAAAATTAAATTATCTCAAAGTTATTTTTTATTTTAATGCAAAAATAATATTTATAGTTTAATTATTCTTTTTTTATTCATATAGTCCAAAAATAAATACAAGATATTATAAATAAGAGCAACAAAACATTATCAACAAGTAGTCCTACAAATTTTACAAAAATTTAATTATCTCAATGTTATTTTTTTTAATACAAAAATAATATTTATATTTTTTATACTTTTTTTCATTATTTGTTATATTTAGAAAACATGTAAATTGATAATTATAATTTTTTAATTCTAAAAATGACAGTAAGTGTCTGCATAAAAAAGTGACAAAAGATTTCAATGGTTATGTATGTCCGTCGTCACTGAAAAATCTGTTGATGAAAATTGAAGAGTGAATCTGCGGAGGTCAAGATATTGCCTCAAGGTTGTTAGGAGATGCAAAACATGTCAAAATAGAATTACATCTGAAATGGTCTGCAACTGTTAAAATCTTTAAATAAAAGATACAGTTGGTAAGGTCATCTGACCTGTATTTCATGCACGTTGTTAACCAAATGGGGGCAACATAATAAATAGTATGGGTTTTTTTTTCTGAGTGTTTCCATACTAAAATACTGTAGATGTTGAATAATAATATTCAGTGCGCCCACACTGCATTTCTCGGCTAGTTTTGGAATCGCAAAACATTTTGGGATTTTTGAAAGAGTCATGAATTTTTAATGTTACAAATCGTATTCTATAAAATACTTATATTTCATTATAGGTTGTTATAGGTTTTAAGTATTTTTATTTATAAAATTGTTTTTTAGTCACATGTTCTGCATAATTATATTGATTCCTTATTTTAAAAAAAATATGAAATAATTTTTTCTGTTAGATTGCACCAAAAAATAATGTGTGTTCTAAAAAAGGTAAGTTGCCCTCAGATTTATATAAATATTCTTGTAAAATATTTTATTATTTAGTAATGATTGTTTAAATTATAGGCCTACATTGATTTAATTGTGCTTTTTTTCCAATTTATTGTAGCTGATGGCGATTTTCAAAAGATTTGGGCTGAGCATTGTCACGATGAAGCCAGCCTTGGTGAGTACGCCTACGCCATGCAGCACCTTGCTGTGGACCATTGGTCAACCAAGCACCAAGACGACCGCATCAAATGGTGCTATCGTACATGTATGAACTACTTCAAATACGGAGGAATGGAGAAAGCACTTGCCAAAGACCGACGGCGTCAAGAACACGAGTTGTGCAATGGTATCGAACCAAAGAACGTTTTTGATGTTGAGCAATCGAATAAGTATAACACAATGTAAGTTGACATGTATTAATAACAAATATTATTTAGTTCAGTGGTTCCCAAACATTTTGCAATTGTGGACATGTTAAAAGTCTTCACGGACCCCAAGTTTAAATTTGCTTAAGTTACTTGAAATTCGATTAAGTATGAACAATTAAAGAATTCGTTGAATCAATGAACCCTATTAAACTAAACAAACTGAACGTTTAATAGGAATATTCTAGACCCATTTTAAAGACCCAAAGAATGAAATTAGATGTAGGCCTACTGCCAGGCAGGAGACCCCCGATGCCTCCTACTACTGGTTGAGAAATCATGGCACTATTTTTACTTGTCTGCACTTGCCAAAAAGTCAGTGAATGTATTCTTTCTCGAATGCTTCAAAAAATGTTTATTTCTTTGATGAATGTATCAAAATATCATTACAAACAAGTTATTCTAACACACTACAAATTACAATAGTTACTCATCGTACGTATCCGTACTGCTGTACTGCTGATGTGTAGGCTAGGCCTAGTTAATGCACACTGCAGGAGCACAAATCAGCATACGCACAGCTAAATGTATACGCACATAGTATACTTATCATATCACTATAGCAACCGATGACTGCTAAAACATTTAAAACTAACATTAAAAGATGGCAATTGACTTATAAAGAAATTGGTAGAGCATGCATCGTACACTAGCGGAAAATTATTATACTTTAGGTTGGATTTAATGCATTCAATAAATTTTTTTGAGCATTAAATCTAACCTTCATATAATAATTTTCCTATATAGTGTACTATGTGGAGCTCTACTGATTGCTTTGTATAAGATATTTATCACACAGTTGTAAGATGAGAAAAATTATGAAATCTTGAAAACTTGGGTCTAAAAAGTCAAGCAGATCCCAGAATTGTTATTGAGACCATTCCCCTCCCCCTCTGCAGATCCCAGGTTGGGAACCACTGATTTGGAAAAGGTGCTTACCTTCTTGTACCATGTTTGTGGGTTCAAATCCAGGATCTGGATTTTTTTCATGACTAAAAACAACTTAAGTCTCTAAGTCTTGTTTGAGTATATTTCATCCTTTAATTTGCAAGTGCTTTTTAATTTGATAGAAATTTATTTTGTTATATAATTACCATTTTTGTGCATAGGCCTACAAATAATATTTTGGTTTTTTTTTTTTTAAAGAATTTTATGTGTAAATCTTTAAATGGTCTCTGGGATTCACTCTGATTAAAGATCAAAATTATTGATAGTATGGCTTTGCCAGTCACCACAGTGCCGGGATTTGAAGTAGAGGGGAAGCATGCGGTTAAAGACTATTTTGGAGAAAATTTTTATCTAATTAATTAGTTCCTTTTTTCAATCTTAGAAAAGACAGTTCGGGAAATTTATACTTTTAGAAGGCTAACTAGGGAAGGCATATAGTGAACAGGCTTGGAAAAAAAATGTTGGTGCCTCCGACCATGAAAGTTCTCTCGCCAAAATGCCTCAGCGCCAAGTGTTATCTGCACACTTAGCCCATCATCTTTTACACCCGCCTCCCCCACCCACCCTGCCTGCAGGACATTCATAATGCCTTCGACTGCCGGGCACACACTTTTTCCAGCCCTGAATATGAATCTGAGTAGGTTGAATTGATGAAATGTTTTTCAAGAAAATTAAAGGCGACATAAATAATTTTAATTAACAATTCCTAGACGCGTAGGAAGGAGTAATTTTAAGGGGAAAAATTTTCTTTTCATAGAGTTTCTTTTTTTTTGTTGCATGAAGACCAAAAACTAGGTCGTTTATATCACCAGTACCTCTTTGTGAACCGACCTAGATTTCAAAAACAAAATTCAAAAATTCAAAAATCCAAATTGATTATCTTGTCTGTCATAAATCACCAGGACTTATGCCAATCTATCCCACAATACCTCATTCTGAAGGGCCCCGGTATACAGATCTATTGTTTTCTGTTAATAACAATAGCTACCGAAACAATGCTACTTTGCAGAAAGGAAAACTAAATTAATGTTGCTTTTGTTTTTTGTGAACATGTTAAATTAATAGAGCCTTGTAATCAATTTTATATCAAAACATATTTTGATCTTTTTTATATATCAACATATTTTATGATGGAATATGATATGGAATTTGCCAAGATGATATAAAAATGACCTGAACAATTTTAGATAATTTGAAGTGTACTTTTTATGAAAATTGTTTTAAATGAAGCGAACATAAACTGCATGCTCTGGATCATTTTTACCCTGAATTTTTCCCGAAAAATACTGCTAAGTATTAGCATTTAAAAACATGTCATAATGAAATATGTCACAAAATCAGACCAGAAAATTTGCCTGAAATTATAATTTTTTTTTATATTAGAGGTCCCCAAAAAGGGTTTGTAACGGCAACAGAGTTTATGGTTATTTTTCTCTAGATGTTCATTGCTTTTTTCAGGAAAAATGATTTTTGAAAACATGTCATATGAAATATGTCACAAAATCTGACTGGAAAATTTTCCTGAAAGGAATTCCAAGAAGATTGTACAGATATTAGTTTATCAAAATTATTTACTACATAATAAAGTGCATAGAGGCATATTAGGTCCCAGAAAAGTTTGTAATAGCCAAAGCAGTAACTGTTATTTTTGCTCTAGATGTTCAACGCTTTTTTTTTTCTTCGGGAAAATGATTTTGAAAAATATGTTACATGATGTATGTGTCACAAAGTCTGACTAGAAGATTTGTCTGAAAGGAATTGTGAGGACATTGTACAGATAATTTTCTGAGATAGTTTTTTTTTTATTCAGCTTTAGGCAAGGGCCAAGGATATGCTAAACAGTAAATCACTCTTCAAAGTGGCAATCTCATCACAAGACAACAGGGGCTGTGTGGGCCAGTGCACTGGGGAACCCCCCCTACTCATCTTGAAAGATGTACTGGGTTCTTTATGTGCACATGAACCAATTATATGCACAGGGCCTACAATTTATAAGATTATTTATTTATACATAATGTTTCAATGTAGTTTATTCAGTATATATATAGGCCATTGGCCCAAAAATACATAAATTCACTGCATATTATATATTTTCTTTTCTTATCTTATATGCTAATTGTACAAAATGAGTTAATTTTAAACAAAAGTGATTGTTTCTTTGTTGACATTAGTTTATTGTATAGTCCTTATCCGAGAAGACTTGTTTCATCTCCATAACCATAGACAAGTGTGCCATTCGAACCAGCGCCGATATTATGGCTGTGGGTTGCTGTGCCCCTACCTTATCCACTCGGCCATTCGACTCACTTATTTAGTTATATTTAGGTTTGCAACTGCACTCATTAATCCCCCTTATCAGGGTTATTAATATTATTCAGTATTTATTTTCTTGTGGTTCAAATTACAATCAGTACTGTCAATCAATGGTATTTGCACCATGATCTTCAAATTATTTATTTTCTAACTTTATTCTTTTTTTTTAAATTAATTATTTATATATTTTTTTTAAATGATTTAGGTTTTATCTCTGTTGTTGATATTGGGAAACTGCTCTTTGGTTTTCTCTCTCTTGTTGTTCATTCATTTTTTGCATTTCTTGTATTTGACATGGTTTGAGAGAAATAAATAAAATAAAAATGAAAAATATTATTATGCCCAAAGCTAGGATTAGCTTTTTTTAGTTATTTTTATGCAAGTAGGAGTTTACTTATTTCTCCTTTCATTGTTCATAAACAATGTTTTGTTATTTGTGTATCTTCTGTATTTTCTTTGACTTTGCAAGAGGGATGTAATAGCATTTTGTGTGTGCCACTATTACCAGACCACAAATTGTCAAGTGGGGCTCTCAATGAGTAGATTTTTTTTTTATTCTTGGGTCGCTTGGTTAGACTTTATGATTTAGTTTTTTGTTTTTTGCGCATAGAGACCATGTTGTATGCGCTTTACAAGTCCCAAACCATTACCATTACCATTGTGTAAAAATACATCAAAATAAGCCCTCAACACAGGTATGTCAAAACTGCTGGAACAAAAATGGGGCTTCACCCAATCATGTCCCACCAAGATCTTATCCATGGGCCAAACTTCTTTACAAAACTGCAATGCACTTTGGCCATGTTTTTCAATGTAAAAGTGCTGGCAGTGTTATTTCCTCTGGTCATTGACAAGCATGTTTTTGAAGTTGCAAACACTTTCTGAGTGAGGTTTATTAAAAATCATAGTGCAGTGCAAAACACTACGCATTTCACTTGACCAATGAATTGGATCCCACAACATTCTACCAGGTACCCATTTATACCCCGGGATTTCTTTTTTAAGGGACATTTCATCAAAATTGGAATCTGGTGCACATCCGCAAATTTAAAAGCCCCAAGTCATTAAACCACTACCTCAACTGTTCCCCATAGCCTTACAGATTAATTGACTCTCTGAAATGCTTGAATATCTTTTGATCATCATTACTAAGACTATTTTTTCACTCATTTTCCTGTTTTTACTTTAATTTTATATTTTTTGATAATTGAATTTCTAGAGTTTCCTTCAATTTTATTATTTAATAAGCTCGTGGTGAACTTTGACCCTTCTATAATTCATCTCATAATTGATCAGAGTAAACAATAATCTAGAACTTTAGGTCATTTGTGTAATGTTTCATTTAACTTTTTTATGCAAAGTACATATTTATATTTTGCACTAAATTAGCACTTTTTTCATTCAGCATAGGATTTGGTATTGTAGAATATTGGTTTAAGAAATATCATGGAGAAAAAAATAATATGTATTAGATTTACGTTATTTCTTGTAAACATATGATGTATACACACAATCAATTCTATACCATACTCTATTTAAAAGATGTTTAAAAAATTATCTCTATTTAGATATTTCCACCATACTCTATTTAAAAGATGTTTAAAAAATTATCTCTATTTAGATATTTCCACTCAAATTCACAATTTCCTGTTTATCATTCAATTTCGTTAAAGTATACATCTACAGGGCTTTTATTCAATTGTCCTCAGTAGGAGAAATTAAATATGAAGATATTTTTAGCACTCGTCCCTGGCCAGTCAAATGATGATTGACGTAAAGTCATTGCCTGCGTTTGTCTTTCTTCCGAACCTTCAGTTTTGACTTTCTGCAAGTTTATTTTTTTCGATGAAAACCTTGATTTTCATAAAAACCAGTAAAGAATTCTCCCAGGGGTCGAAATAAGCTTAGCTATAGGGTGGAACTAAGACCAGCGTCATGGTGACGGCAGACATTCAAAAGCCTGCTAATTGTTGATAAGTGAAGTACCACCACTCAATGTTACTTCCAAATGAAAAAAACATAATTCTTTTAGATTTTTGATAACAATTTTGTAAATTGGTAAATTATTTTTTTAAATTATCAAAACAAAATCTCAAAAATGGGACAAAAACAATGAAATCCTAAAATATTTCATAATGATGTTTTTTTTTCAGTCCTTAGAAAAAGTACTTGTATTTTTAGGATTTCAATTCGAACCCTGAAATTTGAAGACAAGCATCTACAACCCAAAACATTTTCATTCCTATTGTGTCCAGTAATTTTTACAGTCTGTAATGTTTTTCTTCTTTTTTTTTTTTAGCATGAGTGTGTACTGTTGTTTTTACTGTGGTAATACTGCATATTTTAACAAAGATGTTTTTTGTGTTTTTTTATACTTCACTTCTCTGGAGGTGGTTTGTAGTGGGGGAGGAGGGAATTGGTAATGTTTTATAGCAGAGAATAATGTACATGACAGTTGTGTTTCTTGTGGTTTCTGCTGCTGTCCCTCAAGGTCCAAAAAGTATGTATTGTTCAATGCAGTAATTGGTTTTGGCACATTTTATTATTAATTCTGGTATTTTTTTTTTATTCCAAATAATTTTGATATTCTGAAAAAATAAACAATTAGTAAAAATAGTTGAGTAAATATATTTTTTTTATTTTCTTACACTATTTTGCTACAAATATTTTCTCATTCAGAAACATTTTTTTAACATATATATACAAGTCTTTTTTTAAAATAAAACCAAACTGACTGTACCATCTTATTTTTTTGCAACTGATAGTAATCTTTATGTCTTTAATTTATATCATTAATTTTTAAAAGTGTGAATTTTTAATGCAGTATTAATTCTTTAATTTTTTATTCCAAGTATTTTTAAAAATAAACAATGAGAAAAAAATATTTGACTAAAGATATTAAATTATATTCTTATACTATTTTGCTATAAATATTTTCTCATTCAGAATTTTTTTTATTTTTTATAAAACCACTATTTTTATAAACCAATCTGACTCTACCATATCTTTCGTTATTTTTCTACTGATAGTAATCTTTATGTCTTTTAATTTCATGCATGATTACCAACATTAACACCTCCACCGTATCTATTACATTCTGCCTATCGTAACCACATTAAGTTTACCACATATTCATTTAAACTCAAGTCAAAACAGTTAACAATTGTGCAACTGAACAAGTTTATACAGCCCTAGCTCTAAGTTTTTCCTCCTTGAAGTCTTCAAGTATCCAATCAGAAAGCTGGAATCTCACGCCATATAGCAGCTAATTTTGTATACGGTGATGTAGCTTATTATGTGATTTCCTGCGTACTGAATCGGCTTTTTAAGGTTGTTTTCTTCAAGTGCTTCCTTCTGTTGGCGGTTCATTCAACTAGCTAATCAACTCAGTACACATTCATTTTCACATTCTTGACCTCTTTCGCCTGAAAAGGAAATCAAACATTCCGATTGACATATTCATCATGTTTAACATGATTTAACTCTCCTATATACTGACTCTGGTCTGTATCAAAATTATCTCATTGAATTTTAAAATATTTGCTTTGGAACTTAATTCCCAAACTAAAATTATATTTTGAAATTCAAAGACTATCAAATTCAATAATTTAATTGCTTAGACTTTGTAGTGAAGTAGTTAATATTATATTTAACTTGAAAATTAATGTAAGGAACATCAGTTAACAGATACAAAAATCAGTGGGAGATCCAGAATTTTTCAAGCACACACAACATTTTCAGATAAAGAGTAGCGCTTATTTCATTACATAACATTGATATGCATTGAAATTTTAAGATTTAGTGGCAAAACGACGGGAGGGCAAGTGCCCTCCCCCCTTTTTTCCCCTAATGGATCCGTTTCTGGTAAGGATACTGTTCTTATATTCTTTTCATTAACAATTTTACTACAAAAACCCTTAATTTCACCCCCAACTATTTAGGCTGATATCAAGCATTTTTATAGTAAAACGGCTGTAAATCTTTAAAAACCGTAAATTGTTTGTCTTATTCGAAGTTCTTGAATAACATTTTTTAATTGATTTATATTCATTACCTGCTAATTTAAGGTCTTTATATTTAATTTCTTTTTTAAATATTTATTGCCTTAACACAATTAATATCAGTGATGGAAAATTTACAAAAAAAAAAAAAAAAAACCTAGACAGTATTTTTCATCAGTTACTTAATAAACCTCAATTTTTGTGTTATATTAGGGAAAAAGACTTATCTGTTTTTCCAGACAATGCTAATAATTTCAAACAATAAGACTTGCGTCTATATCAGCTCTTTCTGAATCAGTTTAAACAATTATTGAAGGCATAAAAAAAAGCCATGACAGTTACAGAACATATAGAAAGTCTTGATAAAGCAATGCATCTGATTCTTTTCGTCGAGGGGAAAAAATAATTTGCAAATATAGTTTTTTTGTGAAAGTTCCTGGCAACAAGTCCTTGTTAAGATGAGGATCTGAACAGACTAAAAGGAGGTTTTGTATATAAATTTTTTTTTCTTTTGTCTTGCATACTCAAACTATGTTTTTTTTAATTTCTACTTCTAAGATTATTGAATGTGATATGATACAGGTATGTGATAAATTGTTGCAATGCCAGCACTTTTCATAGGCTTTTGAAAGTCTGGCCAAAAAGTGCGTTTTTCAGGCCTATCGGTTCGATCCATGAAAGAAAGACTACGCAATATTATTGGAATATAATAATATATTGCCTATGTGTTGTTTTTTATGTATAGGCCTAAGAATGAGATAAAATAACCTGGCATTTTTCAAGAGGGGAAATATTCTACCAGTTTTGTTCATCAATTTTGATGTGGGATAGATTTCTCTAAATAAATATTTTATTAAATTTTTCCATTTAAATAGAAGAAAGGTATTGAAGACATTTTGAAACAAAAGGCAAATATTCTACCAGTTTTGTTCATCAATTTTGATGTGGGATAGATTTCTCTAAATAAATATTTTATTAAATTTTTCCATTTAAAAAGAAGAAAGGTATTGACATTTTGAAACAAAAGGCAAATATTCTACCAGTTTTGTTCATCAATTTTGATGTGGGATAGATTTCTCTAAATAAATATTTTATTAAATTTTTCCATTTAAATAGAAGAAAGGTATTGACATTTTGAAACAAAAGGCAAATATTCTACCAGTTTTGTTCATCAATTTTGATGTGGGATAGATTTCTCTAAATAAATATTTTATTAAATTTTTCCATTTAAATAGAAGAAAGGTATTGAAGACATTTTGAAACAAAAGGCAAATATTCTACCAGTTTTGTTCTTCAATTTTTGATGTGGGATAGATTTTCCTAAATAAATAATATTTTATTATTTGATTTTTCCATTTAAAAAGAAGAAAGGCATTGAAGACATTTTGAAACAAAAGTCAAATATTCTAGCAGTTTTGTTCTTCAATTTTTGATGTGGGATAGTTTTTTCTAAATAAATACTGTTTTATTATAAAAGTATAATTTTTTTTCATTATATTCTATAGGTATTAAAGACATTTTGAAACAAAGGGCTTTGATTTCAAAATCAATCAATCAATTAGCAGAGGTTTTCATGTATTCTATCATGGAGGAATTAGTTTAATTCCTCCATGATTCTATTAGGCAAGTTTAAATAAACAATACAAATTCCACTATTAGAACTTAATTGCATAATTAAAGTATTTTGAGATTTGTTAACATTTTCATGTAATTATTTTTAAAATGTTTGTATCAAAACAATTTGGGTAGATTTAGCCCAATTACATTTGTGTAGATTTCACCGATACTGCTGCGCACATTGTTTATTTATTCCACACTTGTTGTATTTCCTCAGACGTCTGTTGCCCTACATTAGTACTTAACAGCCTCCTGGTTTATAATTCCATGCCAGGTACCACTGCAGCTAGTTTTGCTGACTCAAAACTTGTTTGTAGAAAAGGATTTTGGGAGAGTGGTACTGATCAGCTCTTAGCATGGGTGCCTAAATTTTCTATATAGTCACATTTGTAACCAGCTCTCGCAAAACCAGCTGTTTGTCGGAAAATTTTAAAATTGAGTTTTTGGTATTGTAGATTCTGCATGAATTCTTCTTTGAAATAGTGCTTATTTGTTGGAAATTGCTTGAGTATTAGCGAAGCTATGAATATTTAATTGATTGAATGTTTTGAGGAAACTGCTTCCAAAATCAATAAATTAATATTATTAAGATTTGTATTTTTAAAATAATTTTAATATACTTTTCAGTTAGATTTAGTAATTGATATTTTGTAGAAAGAAATGTTCTTCAATATATCTTCTTTTATAAATATTAAAATGCAAAACCTGAAATGTTCAAAATTCTGATTCTTGAGCGTTTTGGGTGCTTATGCGAAATTAGAAATTGCGACAAACGACGGGTTTTGCCAGAGCCGGTTGAATTTGTTGCTGATATCCCCAAAGCCTGTGATCCATCCAGGTCAAAGTGAGTGGAAAAACTTAGTCATAACATGGTACACTTAATAGGTATCTCGGCATCGATGGGGGAAACATGTGTCTTGTACGTCAAACTTTAAACATAATAAATTTGCAACTTTTGTTGTTTTGTCTGTGCTTTGTTTGGAACTCTTGTGCAATGTTAATTTGATTGAGACAGAACATTGTACTTTGTGTACATGTCTGTCCACTACAGTATATCTACCTTCTTGCTCATTCTCCCATTTTCTATATACATATGCACACGTTATTGCAACACATAGTTATTAAACATTATTGCTCTCTACCCACACCACCCCCCACCCTCCTATGCTCTGTACCCTCACCACCTATACACACTCATATATGTACACATATCTCAATACATACAAACTCCCATGCACATGACCCACCTCCAATACACACTCACACATAACCCCTTGCTCATATCGACAAGAGTCGGTCAAAGACGCAAATTTCATTGCAAACCGGGCATCTGGATTCGATGGAGAATGTTGGCAGCATGTTCAGGTTTTTACCAGGTTTTTACCTCATTAAGTTTCTCATGTTGAAACTTATAATTCCGTTGGGGTCATTCTGATGGCAAGTGCAGGGTCTAGGATGTACCAATTTCTCCATATTTTTCTCAAAGAATGTTTAATAGAGATATCCTATAGTTTAGCATCTTAGCTAATAGATCTATAAAACTAGGATCTGCAACTTAAACTTGGAGCCATTGAAATGGGTTTTAAACTTGCATCAATGGTAATTCATAAACTGACATTAAAACAAGTGTTCCAAAAAGTTTTATAGACGTAGCTCAATAGAATAAAATTGTTTTTCAATAATTTTTTTTTATATCTTAAACATTAAATTAAGTGTATACACAGCCAATTTCCTCACACACTTGTATGTAAACAAGACCTCATACAGCCCTGACAAACAAACCATGCAGAATGTATATTTTACAGAAACATCTTCCAATTGAAAAGAATTGAAGCTTAGGAATTAAGAAATACTTAACCAGTATAAACGTACAACAACTTTCAACCACTTCCATCCCCCTCCCCCAACTCCCACCACCGCCATCTCTTCCTAAATAAGAGTTTCCAAAAGCGAATATATGTTTATGCTTTAAATCAAGTTCTAGGCTCAGAATATGTTAAGCTCCCTCTCCACTTCCTGAACGGAAAGATCTTAGTTAGCATTACTTCCTCAACCAATTTATCAATTAACTTTTCCCCTCATGTCTTGTCAAGCGGGCATGATCTGAGAAAGTTAGTCTACTCTATCACACACATAGAATTTCACATTGAGCTGTTAATCTCATAATTAACTAATTAAATATTGTTTATTTTTTTGTACTTCATGAAATGTACTGTTAATGAGAACATTCAAATATAGTGATATACTGTATAATTTCCAACAAGAAATTTTAAAGAATTTTCAGATGGTACTCCATCCTTCGTCAGCAAGTTAAGTAAGTCTGCAATACAGTAGGTATATATCTTCTTGAAGGATCAAAATGCTTAAAGTTATATCATTCAAAATTCTTGTTTGTATTTATTTTTATGGCTCTTAGTAAAGAGACTCATTATTAGTATGATTGGTAGATTTTGACTGAAGATACCAAGATTCAATATATGCAGTATTTGTTTCAGAACTACTTGTATATGTTGAAACTTGTGTTATGTTTATATAATGTTAAATTCTTGAGGCAAGTCAAATTAACAATCAAAGAGTATATTGCCTTATATCGAATTTAATTATAACTATAAACCTTTAAACATGAAGTATTCTTCAAAGATTGTCTTACAAAGTACATAAAATTTTTTTTATGATTTTACAGTGCTTTCATTCATATTGATTTGGCCTGAAATTACAAACTTTTCTGTTCGTAGTTTAGTATCCTAAAACAAGTTGTTATTCAACTGTTTTCAATTTGGTAACCTAAATATCAGGATAAGCTGTTGCCTGATTGCAAATTCATCAGATGTTTATTTTTGATTAACATATCTGAGAAAAGTAACAAATAGAATGAATTAAAATATAAATCAAGAGTTTTGGAAAAACTTGAATATATTAAAGAAAAATTCTTGTAAGAAAGTTTAAACGTTATTCAACATTCTCAAAAACTAGTTTCAATATGAGCATTAAGAGTACCGGTAAGAAAGTATTGGCAAGCAAAGTGCCGGCAAGGTATTTGCCGGCGAGAAAAGTGCCGGCAAGACGGAAATCCAGAAGTAGACTGCCCACGCTCAGAGCAATTCCCAAGCAACTATCGTCAACTAAATTAATAAAATAGAAAATTATAATGACTCACGGTTACATTCAACTCATTAAAAAGTGAAGTGATTCACATATGGAAAACACGCATTCCTAAGCCATTTCTTTTGCAACTTTCCCAACAAACATATAAAATGTACTGACAGATGACCTGTTGTTTTATCTCTTGTCTGTCCGATGTCAGGAACACATCCTGATCTGATCTGATTCTCAGGAGCTGTCTTCAGACATGTTTGCAGTTCAAAAGGCCATCAGATTTTTTTTCCTTGATCAAAGATTTCTGATTTCTATCGCAGACTTCAATGTCATTCTATTTTATCCTGCAATCTCAGTGACATCTAAATTAACGATTGAAGCACTTCGGGTGTGTTTGGAAAAAAATTGGGAAACTGTGTTACAGGACGAAAAGGTTCATCAAAAGTGCAGAAAATATATTTTATCAAAAAATATATTTTTCATGAATCCTAATTACAAATTTATTTATGTATTGAATTTACAACAGAGTTAATTTTACTATATAGACCTTTACGAAGAGGTTTTGATAAACTTTAACAAATGAAATATTAATTGAAAAAAAATGTGCAGAAGTTGCAAACTTTTTTTCTCTTTACTTTGCAGTACAACCTAAAAACTAAAAAAGTAAGAACCAATTAAAAACTATCCTTAACTTTATAATAAAATATCATATCTTTATGTCCACAAAAGCAACAGTAGCTTATTGTTATAGATCTTTATGATACCTGGAAATATGAATCAAATTTTACTGAATTTCTCATTTAAAAGGATACGATAAGTTAACAAGTTCCAGTGATAATTAACAGTCAGAAACATAGAAACTTTTGAACAATCCCATCCAATGTTGGTTTGCATTTCTACTATTCTGTTTTTCCTTTTTAAGTCGTGTGTTGAATTGAGACAAAATAAATGATATGATATATGATAATATAGTACTATTATTTTGTATCTTTTAATTAGCATGGAATACTGCATATATTTTTATTGGAAAACTTAACTTACACAAATTAAACATTTCAATTTTATTGGTTATAACTCAAAAGGCTGTCAGTGTATCTGAAGCTCAATCGACACCCATATGGGCATGATGATGTGATATCTCATTCATATATGAGCATGCTGATGTCATATCATACCCATATATGGGCAAATTGCAAGTATTTGTCAAATAAAATTTAATTAGAACCTTAGCTTGTCTGTAGACCAATTACAGCTGTCTGTTTCATGTTAAATAGCTTTGAATCTATTAAAAGACTGAAAAAAAGTTATTGCAATTTCAACTTGCCATTGGTACTGTCAATTTTGGAATGGGAACATAAAAATGGTATATTTTTTTAATTTAAATTGATTTAACCTTCACCCTGAATGGAAGCCTTGACCCTGAATGGTTTTTATCCATCTGTAAGATTTGTCTGTACAGCCGATTTAATTGCGCACACTGGGGTGAGAAACTTGCAGAAACTGTTTGATAACTAAAGCATGTCGATCCAGTCACTTGCCTCAACTTTTCAGACACATTGTCTGCAGTCTGGATTATATCGTGCATTGCAAAATTTAGCGTAGCTTTCACTAGGTCGTGTCAAATTTAATGCATGTGTCAGTACCATGCCTCAGTAGACATGATGTCGTATCCCTGCCGGCAGCCTTTCATTTGGAACGGTTTTCGTACTATTTTTTCCAAAGTTAATTGATACATTGTTATGTTTAATAATTAGTTTTAATATCAATAATTAGGTTGTGATGGCTTTTTTTTGTTTCTTGCATATTCATGAATTAACAGACAATAGTTTCTTTTAAAAGTATGTTTAGCATAAATTAAATATTTTTTGTCCTCTCCTGAGGGCTATCTTGCAGCAAGTCAAAAACTACAAAAATAATTTACAGTTGAATAGTTGTTAAAACGTGTATTTGAGATGTATGAAGGAGAAAGGAGCAAAATATAAATAATACAGTTATTTGTATATAATAGGTCATAATGTTAGGTGTAACTGCTATCTAGCATATATCCTACCTAGATCAATATGTGTATTGTAGAATCGTCCACAGGAGCATCATCTGGTTTTGGCCTGGGATACAAGCATTTGGAATTCCAATAAAAAATCAGAAATCAGTGGTCTTTTTTATTTTTTATAACCCACTTAGTGGAATAATTTGCATCCATATCCATCCGCATCCTCCCTCCTCCAACACCCTTGCTCTGTGACTTAAAGATGTTTCTAGCTATTTATTGTCTACAGAGAGTTGGTTTCATCTGGCATGTTTACTGCATTAAAATTTGTTTAAAAAAAAAGCACTTTATGCATAAAGGGTAATTTATTTTTTGAAAATGTAGCAATGAAATTGGCACGCAAAATTTATTTGACATTTTGAATTCATATCAGATAAATTGTTTCTTGCTGCCAAGCCCCCGCAATTATTATATTTTCTATTCTTATTTTCTGCAGTGATTAGAGGTCCCACATGGTAGTTTATGTTTTTCTGTTCTTTTGCTGTAGTTGTTGTTGCCAAACTGGGTTGGATGATGGATACATTTTGTCTCTAGAGGGCTCACTTTAAAGTCATGACCTGCATGAATAGTGTAGTCAAGATGTCTGCTACTGCAGCAGTTGATATTAAGTGAGCTGGCAATATTTCCCTCAAGCATTTTAAGAATACCCTCTACCTGTGCTGCTGTTTGTTAAATGGTTACATTTGCAGGCCTATTTTGAAGTAAATCCAATTTTTAAATCAATAGATTTATTTTTGAATGAAGCGTTATAAAGACATCATTTTTATTTTTTTATCACATTTTTTTATTAATTACTATAAAGTTAAAAAGAAATCACATTTTATTATTAATTACTATGAAGTTAAAAAGAAATCACATTTTATTGACCATTAAAATTAAAGATTGTTATATAGTAACTTTTTCTTTGAAATTTAGATGACTTCCATCAGTGACGGTACTGTATAAAGTTTTTGAGTGCAACTGTCTTAGAGTTTCTGCAGCATATTTCGTTGCAGGAGGAACTTCTAAATATGAGTGTTCCAATATTAGAGTTAGTTGTAGTGAGCATCATGAGAGTTCCATCACCAGAGTTAGTGCAACTTATGAGAGTTCCTGCACCAGAGTGTGTTGCAGTGTCAATTGTATGAGGTATCCAGCACCAGAGTTGGTTGCAGTGTGCAACTATATGAAAGTTTCAGCACCAGAATTTGTTGAAATGTGCAACTGTATGAGGTGTCCAGTTCCAGAGTTTTGTTGCAGTGGGCTGTATGAGAGTTTCTGCACTAGAGTTTGTTGAAGTGTTCAACTGTATGAGATATCAGCACTGTTGTTGCGGTGTGCAAATTTTTATTAGAGTTTCTTCACAAGAGTTTGTTAAAGTGTGTAGCTGTTATGAGAGTTTCTGCACTGAAGTTTGTTGAATTGTTGAAATTTATGAGATTTGCAGGACTAGAGTTTTGCAGAAAATGTTAAGTATCAGATTCTGTTGCAGTGTACAACTGTATGAGAATCTCAGTATCAGTTCAATTGTATTAGAATTCAAGAACCATAATTTGTTATGACAAATAACAATCTATATTGGTAAAAAGGTTTTTAGTGATTTATGAAAATTGTTTTTGACAGATGTTCACCAGTGTCAGGGCAGTTGAGATTGTTAGATGTTGGCAGCTGTTTTAATCCGTTTCTAGATTACAAAGAATTCTTATCAGTTGGTATTGACCTTTCACCTGCTGTGGAGGTAAGAAAATGAACATATGAATTGTTTTGCTTTTACCAATGTGTAATTGGTAGGGATTGAGAATTTTTATGAAACACTTTTTTTTATATACAGTAATGAAGCAACAAAATATGTTTTTATAATAGATACCTCCTGACTTTTGACACATTCCAAATTTGTTCATTTGTGAAATACTGTTAATAATTATTTCTTCAAGATTTCTTTCAAAATATCCAATAATTCCACTTTATAAACAGCTTACTGTACACATATCAGATCAGTTTCATGATACATTTTATTTTTCTAGATTATATGTATCAAACTATAAAGTCATTTCAACATTTATTTAAAGTTTTTTTCAGTCTGCCCATGGGCTTTTTTCAAGATAGCATAGGCTTCCTTTCGAGATAGTACAGTACATACACTGTACATTAATTTAAAAAAAAAATTAAAATCACGCTTGATTTATGCAGTAGTTTAGGTGATTTAATGCCAGTTAAATACATAAAATAAACATACATAAATTGACAGCATTTATTTTGAAAAGAAGCCCCCTCTTTACTTTGCAAAAGTAGCCTCGAAAAGACTACGATCTCAAAAAAGAAGCCCACCTTAAAGAGAAGCCTATACAAAGTTTGGAAAAAAAAGAAGTCCATGGGGCTTCAATTCAAGGTTTTACGGTATTTTGCTTCCATAGAGTACCACAGTCGTGTCATCACAACGCCAGGTGGCGCTCTCTGTTGTCAACAGCCGTTGGTTACCGCTCATTACTCCTGAATGACTTCATAGGCTTTCTGGAATAGGCATTTTAAAATCTAATATTTTACAATCAAAATGTACTAAAAACACAAATCTCGCATTACCGTATATTAGTTATCGGACACACATTTAATCATCAATTAAAATTTACAAAGAAAAAGTAAGATATAACATCTTAATAATTACATTAGAAATTGGGATCAATGATTTGTCAGTGGAGAAAATGGCGCCCAGTTGAACTCATTTTGCAAAGATAGCAACGGAGTAGTATCATGCGGTATTGTGACATAACACTGTAGTACTCTATAAGGTTTTGTACACACTAGAGCAATGTAAATTTATTGATGAGATGTTATTTGACAGAAATGCAAGCATCACATGCAAAGTGTGAAACAATATTCTTGTTCTTTGTTTTTTCACCAGCCAAATAGAACAACCCATAAAAGGTACTAAATCAATCAATCAGGCATCTACCTAATCAGAATGTAGCACTCAGTCAGAAGTAATCCAGTCATAGCTGACCAATCAAATTACAGTATTTAGTGTGGTCAATAAGTCTCCAGTTCAGCATTCTCATATGAATAAAATTAACTCATACAAAGAACCTAGAAACTCATCATATCTTTATCATGTTTCGTAAAAGAAAAAAATGTTGGCAAACTGAAAACATTATGGAAGTAGGAGTGGTGACATGTGTTGTCAATGTAAATTTTTATTAATGTCATTTTTAATTATGTTGTTATTTTGTGCATGCATCCAGAGAAGGAAAAAAATTGCTGGTTAGTTGCTGAACGAATGATTAGTTTCAACTACTAAAGTATTTTTTTTCTTACTTATATTTTTTAAAAATCATCTTTAACATTAAGTGGTACAGTATTCTGCAGTGTCAAACACTGGTTCCCATTTGGGCCCTCAAACAAAAAAACAACAAAAACAGATTCCATATTATTTCTCACTTTTCCAACTGAAAACTGGACAAATAATAATATGTCGGTCTTTATACCTCCATGGTCTTATAAACACATATGAAATACGTATCAGCTGCCTGGGAGAATTCCATAAAACATAAAACTGCAGCTAGTAATCAGCGCAGTTGTGTTCGAACCAGGTAACCACTTGTACTGCTGGGTGGAGAGAGGCAAATGTAGGTAAAGTATCGTTTCTAAGGGCACAAGCAATGCGACTAGAATTTTTTTTTTTTTTAACCAACATTTTAACCATACTATGCTAGTCTTCATCAGGACATGCACAATAACAAAATACAAAGACTGTAGCTAGCTTTCTATTTCCAGTTTATTTGGTTGGAAAAGTGCAAAATAATAGGGAATCTGTTAGACACAGCCAACCAAGAAATAAACAATCATTAAACAACAAAAACATTAAACAACTATTGAAACAATGTCAAAATGAATCTCTATCACATTGACCTAGATTATGAAAAAGTGAAAAGTTGATTGGAAATCATCTTGTATTTCGTGTTACTTTTAACACCGTTACACTTCAATCCAATCAAATGCATTGACATGCTTGGTTTACTAACTATATAACTTTTCCGAGAGAGGTGTTATGAAGGAAATACTAAGCTGACCCTATAGAAATGACTTGTTAGGGAATTAAATATAAATTGGAGAATAATTGGAACCATATCTTTAGTTATTGAGTAATGTAATTTGCCATATGACATGCTTTCATTTGACTCTTTTGTAGACGGTGTACAGATGTGATTTTTTGAATCTCCAAATTCAAGAACCTCTTCAGGTGGCTTCAGATACTGTTGAGACATACATGAGAACATTGAAAAATCCTGTTGAGAGGCTACCAAAAGAGAGCTTTCACATTGTTGTTTTTTCGCTGTTGCTCTCGTATTTCCCTTCCCCGTATCAGCGCTGGATATGTTGTCAGAAAGCTCATGAACTGCTGCAGTTAAACGGACTCTTACTGATTGTAACACCCGATTCTTCCCATCAGAACAAACACGCAGAAATGGTCAAAAGCTGGAAAGAGGGAATCGAGGCAATTGGGTTCACACGCTGTAAGTACGAGAAAGATACGCATTTACATTACATGGCATTCCGCAAAGTTAAACTCAAACAGCCTCGCTATACATTGGACGTTGGTCCAGATAATTTATACATCCCACAAGATTTCAGTGAAGATGATGATGAAAGTGTTTTTTGCGACAGTTTTGCACGATCGAAAATCTCTGACCAAGATCTCAGCGAGACATTCACTGAACTTCCTGGGGGAGATGAGGAAGAGTGGTTTTTAATATGAAGAAATTTAAAAAGGTTTTCGCCTGCAAACCAAAAAAAAAAAAAAAATCAACAGCTAAATCGCATGGGTGACTGCTAATGACAGTTGCAAGGTGATATTGAACAACAGCTAAATAATCATGTGATCTTAGAAGTCAGAATCATACGATCAACTGTAAATTATGCTGCTGCTGCGAATTGCAATGTGGCCAATCACTGCCCTTGTGTCCCAAAAGTCAAGACCGAGAGGATTAACCAATCAGTGTATGGCAAACATTCATAGAGACGTCTCAAAGTTAAAGAACATCATGCTTGTCAAATAACTGTGGCGGTTGTTATTTGTGGTCACCTGTGGATGAGCCCCGATGACAGGTGCATCAGCTCATTTATGCAAATACAATTTATAGTCTACATATTTTCATTAGCTTGTACTGTAATATAATGCTTTTGGAAACATCATACCATTATAATAGATATATTCTTTGATATGATAAAAAAAAAAATGGGAAATGTTGATATTAGACATTGTCTAAAGAGATGCTTGAATTTTTAAAATCATTTATACAATGATAAACATACTCATAAATGGAATAATAAAAAGTGGTCAAATATCTCAGAGCAATCCTTTGAGGTGTGCATGGTTATATTCTAAATAAAATCCATATAGAATTTATACCAAGCATGCAAAAGCATATATAAGTAGTATACTTGTTTGATAATAAATGTATTAAATAATAATATGCTTTTATTAAATTGATAACCTGTTTTGGTAGCTACCAAGTTCAGTACAAAAATGTTAATGATTTTTTTTAATGTCAGTGCTCTTGTTTGATAATAAATGAAATTAAATAATATACCATACTTTTATTTTATTGATAACTTGTTTTGTTACTACCAAGTTCAGTACAATAATGTAAATTTGTTTTTTACATCAATGAACCGTTAATAATAACACAATTTTTGTTAATCACTTTCTGGATAAATTTTTAGTTTTAGTTATTTTTTTTGACGGAATCACTGACAGTAGGCAGAAGGATTTCATGTAGACTGCAACTCGCTGAAGCACAAGTGGTAGATATTAGCAGATTTGAATTGCTTTGCTTTTGGCAACTGTCGGCGAACGCCACTAGGGCTTGTCCTTACATCTGCCACACGCAAGTGACTTCAGCTGCAACCGCTTTCACAGTATTGCAGCAATACTTTTTTGGGGTGGTTTGTAGCTCGAAGTCGCTGAAATTTTAATTATTTTCAAATCATGTTTGTGGCACTTTTTTTTTTAAGTGGTTGCTATTTATTTAGATTAGATATTTACTCAGTTGATCTGAGCATTAGGGTGTAGATATTGATGCAAATCAGTTGTTTATCGGGTTCCAAGTTAGAAATTACAATATGTCCAATTTCTTTCTTGCTGAACCAAGTCAGAAGCAACACACTCTTACCTGAATGCTTTGATCTTTTTCAACTGGACTAAAGGAAACCCACACGTCAGATAATGTTCACTGTAAATGACTGTTTTCTTCTCACCTGATTTCAAGATAAAACTTTTCATTACCAAGTTCATTTCAATTACCAAGTAATTGAGTCTATCATTTTTTAAATTTGTTTAAATTCACTTGTTGTGCATTTAATTTTAAAGTGTCATGATGATTTACTCCTGTAAAAATATCTGATTATTAAACTGAAAAATATAAAATGGCTAAATGTAGCAAGATTTGTTTAATTTTACTTGTTTGATTTCATTGGTGAAAATATAAGTACAGTATTGGTAAAGCGTCATTGTGCTGAAAATACCTTTAACCAATATTCGATTAGCAACTGAAATATTATACCAATTAAGTGAGTAGCATTTTTTCTAATTTGTTTAATTTCACATGTATTTAAATTTCATTGGTAAACATTTTATACGATTAGTGCCAATGGCGATCTACTAGAATAAGCATAATTTTCCTATATCTTAGCAACTGAAAAAATATACCAGTTAAGTAAATTAAAGCTGTGTTTGCATTGGATTAATTTTGAGCAAGACGAATGATATATCTATGGATTTTATTCAAATCATGCCACTGTCCGCACTTTAAAAATATCCAGTAGATTTTAAGGTAGTAAAATATTGCGCATGCCATGGGGAAACGGTGACATGTTCCCTCCCCTTCCTCCCCCCAAACATTTTTAAGTGGGTTGGCTTACCCCACTTTTCGACTGCAATGTAATTTCTTATGTCAAGAAGATGCTTGCATAAAAGAGCATTTTACAGAGTACCTGATGATGAATTTTACTATATGAAAATGTAATTTCCAGCCATCTGTACTATTTTCTCAAATTTTCGGACTCACAACTGTCTCCCCCCACCCACCTTTTAAAACAGATGCCCTTGGCGCATGCAGTACTTATTCTTCCTGGCCAACGTTCACTCGGTTAAAGTTGCTGCGTGTCTTGGATAATTGGATTGTTGGTTGTTCAAAATGGATTTTTTTTACCCAAAGTGGCCAGGTACATGGATAGTGTATATGAACACAGCTTAAAGCTCTGTCAAGATTATTGATTTGTTTTTGACAAAAAACTGTTGTTTACTTGTATGCCCATATATGGTCATAATGTGATGTCATCTTTACCAAATTTGGACATGTCACATGTTTTGTAAAATAGAATTTGATAATCTTGATAGGGCTTAACATTTGCTTAATTGGCATAAAGTCTAAAGACTTACTTTGTGCCTTGTCTTTGTATCTTGATTATATCCTGCTTGAATAAAAGTTTTTTTTTATAATGAGCAACAATATCAAGTGTGAAATGTATTCATTCTGGTCTAATTACATTCAAGACAAATAGATCAGCAGATATGAGGCATGTTGTGGCAAAATGGTAAAGTTGTCGCACAGTCCAGTATTGAGTAAATGAGCTATAAAATATGGGAGCTCAAAAAAAATTGCTAAAAAATCCAAATTTGTTTTTCACTATAGGTCAACAAACACGTTATATCGTCATTGCGGACTTATAAAATCTGCATACGCTATAAAACTAAAAGAAAATGCATACTTTTTGAGTCCGTACTGAGCCCAAAAAATCCGCAATGAAAATATAACATGTTAACAGTTTAATGTCTTATTAATCATGTCCCAAAGTATTAGTTCTGGAAGTGGTTAACAAATTGTTTATTTAAAGTTATTTTTCATAGTTCATTCTATTAAACAATGTATACACAAATAACTTTGAAAGGCAATTACTCAAAATCATGTTTATCTTGACTCTAAGAGTACTGTACTTTCACTTTCCAATAACTTAGGCTTGAAATGTCCAATTTGAATGAATGACCCCTCATTTTAAAGATCACATACTCAGGTATAGGTATTTGCAAATATCAATAACTTGAATTTCAATTTTTGCTACAACTTAGCCATTTTGCCACAACATGCCTCATATTACAAAACAGTCACTACCGCTCAAAAAGATGGTATGTACTGTATTATATACATTGGAGCACTTGAACATATGTAAATATAAACAAATAGTTAAATGATAGAAACAGTGCTAAATTTTGGAATTCAGTGTTGCCACCACCAAGAGTTCTGTCAGGCTTAATTACCACAGCCCAACTATATCAGGGCATGATTGTGTGTTGAAGTGTGTCTTGCTGGCTACAATCTGTGATAATATCAGTAGGACTCTGTAGACTCCTAGAGGCATCTAGATGTGTATTTATATACTGTATATAGATATACTGTATTTGTTCGACTGAACACTCCAGGCGTTTATTGTTAATGAGAAGGGTTTTGAGGGGGAATTTATTCAAGAGAGGCATTTATTTATTTTGGTGTAAAGTGGATATGTATAATACTCAAATAAACGCCCTTTAATTTCACTGTAAATGTGGAACTACAACACATAATGACCTTACAAATGTGTTATTGCGTGATCATAAAAGAAAAAATGTAATTAGTTTTGTTTACAGTCATTTAGGGGGCATTTATTTGATGAAAAGATAAAATCTCCGGGCCGTTTTTTTCCAAATGTGGCCCTGGAAGGGGCGATTGTTTGAGTGGACATTTATTCAAAGCAGGGCGTTCATTCAAATAGACACTATCATGATTCAAAATAGCAGAAATTCATTTAAAACCAAACAAAAGTTCAACCCAATTTTAAAAATCAGCAAACATTATTAATTACTTGCACTGATTTTCTTTTATCTTACTTAGAACTTTTTATATTGTATGCCTTAGAAAGTTGATGGAAATGTGCCACATTCTAAGGTCTAAGGGAATTAGCAAAGAAGCATACACCCACAAAAACATATAACATACACTTTCGTTAGGTGGTGAAAATTATGAAATGTGGGGGTAGTTTGGAACAGTGGTTTCACTTCATCTATTCAACCTTGAGGTCGTGGGTTCAATTCCTCGCTGTGCGTTTCGCCTAAGTCCTTGGGCCGGTAAAACACTATCTAGGGTTGTCTCTCCTCCCAAGAGTACTAGGTAAGTTCAAACACGAAATGCGTTGATTATACAGTATTACTAGCTGCAAAATTATATAATTCTCCCGAGGGAGGTGAGTACTTTGTTCCAGGCCATATGTTCCATCCCATGACTGAGGTTAATAATGTGAAGCGTTTATTAGAAGCCCTGTTGGTATGGACTAAGTCTAACATAAGTTACCGGTATGTATCTAAAGCAGTCATTCTTTTAACATTCAAGGCCCTTTATGACAAAGCACCAAATTATTTATCTGAACAACTTGTTTTTTAACCAGTCTGGCCGTTAGATCCTCTTCTCGCATGCATCTTACACCTTTAACATCTAAAACAAAATGTGGCTGTATGGCTATCGATCTTTTTCTTCCAGTCCATTCCGGGCGGATTTGGGGGGGGTGGGGGCCTTTTGAAAAGTGAGAAAAAGGGGAAAAAAGAAAGTGAAAAAATTATTGATCGCTCAATACCCCTCAGACTTAGGATTGACAGAATGTTAAAATTTGAATATACATTTTTTTGCCTTTATTTCATTTAGTCGTAAACATTTATCAAAAAACTGTACAGTACAATAATAAAGAATTTAAAATTGCAATACTGACACACCATCTGTATCTGGTTGAAAGTATATAACTTTGAATTTGTTCCTTTTAACGGGTATTTGATTGTATTAATTGAGTGTTTGTTGGGTTTTTATTATTGTCATTAATATTAATTGGTTTAGGCCTAAGGCCAAGGAATGCCAAACAGCAAACTTAATCACTTTTCTAAGTGGCATATCGCTTCATAATTAGGGAGTGGAGTTGTTTTGGTCGTGAGAAAAAAAATCCTGTTACCTTCACAGGAATTGAACCAATGACCCTGGAAGGCAAGCTTTTCGAATGTTAAAGCAAACATTACTTCAGCCTGTATTGCCTTAACTTGGCCTAAACTATTATATTAGCTGTTTTTCCCTATGGCCGTCAAGTTTTTCGCCTGCGTCACTCGACTGAGACAGAATTCTGAAGGAGGGAGAATGATATCATCAAATAATGAAACGTTTCCTGCCGCATTCCATTCCGAATTGTAATAAACAGGAAAACGTGTTTAATAATTTCTTATCCTATTATACTTGTCTTTTCTATGAACAGCAGTCATTCGTTGAGTTTCAAAACTTATAATTGTGATGGTTTATTGAATGCACATGATATGCACATTGCACGCACAACCCCCACACATATCCCCCTCCCCTACCCCACCCCCACC